GTATTTTACATTTATAAAAACAGTTTTCCTCATAGAATATACATATATGAGTGTCACTTATCTACATAGAGATGCTGGATGGCCAGCTAAGTGTACTCAAAATCTAAGTGACTGATTTCTACGCACTGGTCCTGCCATGGTTACAAGTCAGATGTCATAGCAAAAATGCCAATTATTTCATGTAATAGAGTTTAAATTACTATTAGTAAATTCAGACAAATTAGCAAAAGCCAAGAGTCTATTATACTAAAAATTTCTAGGAAAATGGTCCGTAGATAACAGTGCTGGTAATTAGGAAAGTGAAATAAGTACCTGATAATATTATTAGGTATACAGATACTATTTTTTATTCATTGGGTAAAGTTTCAACTTGTATTAGTGACTAATATTAAAATACATATAACATATAAACCATTTATGTCAAACAAGTTTATGTTAGTAACATTACTTTTGCTTGACTAAATATAAAAGTGTTTATGCTGTTGTTTTTCAGAATACTGAGACTATACTTCACACGTTAACTCAGCATACCAGGTGTGAACTTAACCTCACTTTGTATTAATATAATTTAAAAATTAGTCTGAGGATACATAATAGTTGTTTTTATCAACTAGGTATGTCACAACTTGTGCCTTTGCACCCAGTGTCCTTTTACTTGCTACTGGTTCAATGGACAAAACAGTGAACATCTGGCAATTTGACCCGGAAACACTTGTGCAAGGTTAGTAAGGACATGATATTTAACCCAGTTCAACCCTATTCACTATTAAAATCAGAAATTCAGTAATATTTTTGACAAATTACTAACATTGCTTTTCTCAATATAAATGTACATCCATATTTAATATAATTTAAAAATAATTTTAGAGAAGACAGCATTAAAGTAGTTGACCTACATTAAAACTGTTGATAAATATTTTTGGGTGCACATTCATGTATATCACACCTCCCATAGTTTTGTAAGCTATTTATTTATACGCCATATACATTTTTCCAGATAAATATAGCCTGAGAACAAAATAGAAATTATAGTTTTATTTTGTTGATTTTAGTTTTGGCCTCATGAAATAATGATGACATATAATTTAGAATCTTTTATTTTTATCACTGTCAGAATTAACCAAATAGTGGTGCTGATATGCAGATGACAGAGAAAGTAGATTTCTTTTGCCGATATGAATTTTATATAATAGAAAAATTGTCTTTATTGAGGAAAAAAAAGAGTTCCAAAAGAGTAGCATTTAATGTATCAAATAATTAGTTACTATACATACTATTATTTGATTTTCTGAAATTTCTTAAAAGGATGCTAAAGTAGTAAAACACAGATTTAAGGACATTTTATTTACTTTTTAATTCAAAGTGAGAATGTTTATAAAGGAAATGCTTTTTCTTTTGTTGTTATTTAACTTGCCTTCTTGTTTGTGTTTTTTTTTAATTTGTTTTGTTTTTTAAGCAAGGAGCACAGAAGATCAGCTGAAGCACTTTATTGAAGATTGGTCAGAGGATGACGTCTCAGCATGGCTTTGTGCACAAGATTTAAAAGACCTTGTTGGTATTTTCAAAATGAATAATATTGATGGAAGAGAATTGTTGAATCTTACAAAAGAAAGTCTGGCTGATGATTTGAAAATTGGTAAGATTCGTGAAAGACAATGTCTTTGTATAGGACAGTATATTTTTATTAGATTATGGGAAAGAAACGTTACATAGCAAGCATTTCTTTATGTATCGAAAGCCACCATGCAATGTAATTTTAAAAATTTTAAAAAATTTTAAAATTTGAGATATAACTACATATGATAAAACTCACCTTTTTATAAGTGTACAGTGTGGTGATTTTTAGTATATTCATGGAGTTGTACAACTACCATCACTATCTAATTCCAGAACATTTTCATCACTTCAAGAAGGAGCTCCCTGCTTATTAGCAGTCACTCCTTATTCCCTTTCTCTCTAGTCCCTGGCAACCGCTAATCTCCTTTCTGTCTCCAAGGATTTGCCTATTCTTGACATTTCATACAAATGGAGTCATACACTATACAACCTTTTGTTTGTGGTCTCTTTTACTTAGCATGTTTTCAAGGTTTATCCATGTCGTAGCATACATTAGTACTTACTTCTTTTCATGACTGAATAGTATCCCATTGTACAAATTTACACTTTTTGCTTATCCATTCATCAGTTGATTGAATTTAGATTGTTACAGTTGTTTCAATTTTGTGGCTATTACAAATAATGCCACTGGGAACATGCATGCACAAGTTTTTGTATGGGCATCTGTTTCTAGTTTTCTTGGGTATATAATTAGGAATGGGATTGATGGGTCATATGGTGACTCAGTGCTTACATTTAAGGAACTGCGAGGCTATTTTCTCAAGCAGTGGTGCTATTTTACATCCTCACTAGCATTTATGAAAATTCCAGTTTTTCCATATCCTCAACACTTGTTTGCTTATTAAATTATAGCCATCCTAGTGGTTTCTTATTGTGGTTTTGATATGCATTTTCCTGATGATTAGTGATGTTGAACATCTTTTCATGTGCTTGTTGCTCATTTGTATATCTTCTTTGGAGAAATATCTATTCACATCCTCTGCCCATTTTAAAAACTGGGTTTTTTTGTCTTTTTATAGTTGTTTACATATAAATTTGGATACTAGACCCTTATCAGATACATGATTTGTAAATATATTTTTCATTTACTGCACAAAAGTTTTAAATTTTGGTGAACTGCAATTTATCTGTTGTTGTTTTTTCTTTTGTTGCTTGTGCTGTAGATATAAAAACCAAGAATCCGTTGCCTAATCCCAAGTATTAAAGATTTACAGCTATGTTTTCTTCTATGACTTTTATAGTTTTAGCTCTTACATTTAGGTGTGTGATCAATTTTAATTTAATTTTTGTATATGGTATGAGGTAGGGGTCCAGTTTCATTCTTTCAGGTGTCACTATCCAGTTGTCCCAGCATCATTTATTGAAAAGATTCTTCTTTTTTCCTTTCAATTATCTTGGCATCTTGTTGAAAATCATTTGGCCATAAATGTGAAGGTTTATTTCTGGACTGTTCTATTTCATTGATCTATTTGTCTGTTCTTTTACTAGTACTTAATTACTTAGTACCTTTTTAGTAAGTTTTGAAATTGAGAAGTGTGTATTCTCCATCTTTATTTTTATTTTCAAGATTGGTTTTGCTACTCTGGGTCCCCTTGCATTTTCCATATGCAAAATTTCAATTTCTGTAAAAAATGCCACCTGATATTTATAGGGATTGTTTTGAATCTATAGATCAGTTTGAGAATTATTGACATCTTAACAATATTAAATTTTCCAAGTCAGAAACACAGGATGTTTTTTTCTTT